ATTAAGTTGCAAGTGTTTGTTTTCTTTTATGCTAGAAGGTATTGCAAGACGCATACCACTGCATATTTGTAAAGCATACATACGACTTTGCGTCGAATATAAGAACTGAATATTTAAGAAGGAAACGCCCTCAATCGGTAAAGCAATCTTTCCTTTTCAAATTCTGACCGCAATCTGCTTCCGTGTGGGACTTTTGACCGACGCTGCGTGACCTTTCTGACCTCTTACCCTGACCCTTTCTCTTGACTCGGTAGGGCGTGTCCGAGTAAAAAAAAAGCGACGTGCATATCGCAGTGGAGCAGGTGGAAGGCATACGCTGAGCTTCCGGAGTTTTGCAGGCAAATTAATCAAAGTTGAATACCGCGTGGGCGCCTGAGACCGTAATCCTTAATTTAAAGAACAATGGGGGGCGGGTTTTCCTCCTGGGGGAGTTATGAAGTAGGTCGTCATGAACGCCACCTGTATTCGCGGAGACTGCTGTATTAAAGATGAGAGAAGTGAATTTTCCGGGTGTGGTGGCGGCGGTGGTTGGAGACAGACTTAGCGACTGATAAAAGTGTGGACCTTAAATCTTGCTTTAGGTATATCGTCGGTGCACACGAAATCATGACGTATCTCAGAAATCTTGAGTTTCAGAATAGTGAAGAAATGTGTTTTAGAAGTGGTGTAGTTTCACTAGTGACGATTTAATTAAGATGGTTCACATGCGATCAGAATGTCGAAAATAAGAATACAAAAAAAAAGCCATAAATTCAAAAGTTTGACACTGATTGATGAGAGTGTAAAAACACATCGGAGATCCGAAATTTATTCCACAAAATTTATGTAACAATGTTTTCAATTTAGGTCATTGAAAGGATCGGGAAATGCAACATCGCTTTATTGCAGCCTCCATTATGGCCAAACTATAGTTTCATGTATTCTTATTTCCATACATTTCTTCGTGTAATACAATGCATCTCCATCTGCATGAAGTAATAATCAAAATGTTCACTTGTTCGTAATGTGTGGTTCATTCCATTTTCTTGATATTTGTGTAGACAAAATAATATTTTCCTTAATTTTTATAGAGATTTTTCATCAAATATGCCATCATTTTAAATATGCCTATTTAAAAAAACGTTTTGGTCTTTAAAATTAGAATTCTTTTTAGCTAATGGAGTCGGGTAAGAAAAGTGAATGCTCCTTTGTTCCCTGGGCTGGAAGGAGCAGCAAGAAAGAAATATTTTTTCTTGAGCTTCGTTTCTTACACATAAAATACATTACCGAGACTACGAGTCTTGACTGCTAAATCTCCTTTGAGCGCGCGTTGAAATTATAAAGAATGGTGTCACGTGAGCAAGTTGGGAACAACAGCCTTTCGTGAGTCTCCTAACTGAAATTCATTGCCTCATATAGTTCCCCTGAAATGATGTCGCTCTTTCAAAGAGAATATCTTCACAGGAAATGTCATTATTAGTTTTTAGTAGCGTTCCTTTTTGCAATGAATTACGGAATATTCTGTAATTCTTGTAAATAAAATACATCACAGCGTAAATCACTATACCATCGATTATGATGGTACTGAAATTATAATAAAAGTGGATAACATTAAATGCCTACTTTGCGAATTTGTTTAATATTATCTTTATTGTTGTATTGCAAGATCATATCTGAAAAATAAAATTCCCAAAACTCACTTAAAGTAGATATCTGTTTTTGAATGTGATTTGCTCAGTAAAGATATTTGTAATAATACTTCTACATGATTAAATTCCCTGATTGAGCTGTTTTTTCCGTCTAAAGCTTCGACAAAGCGTGCAAAAACGTTTATGGATGAACGTTGAGCACGCAAGTGTAATTCATTCCTGTCATGTTTGATATGATGATGTTGTAAATCAAAAGCAAGATAAATCTACAATACTGAGAGCATTAATTTTCGTACTATAATTGTTCATTCTCGAATAACTGATTGCTTGTTCAAATAATTGAATGTTAAAACCATAGTTCAACTCTTTTTCTATTATTAAACTTAACAATACTAAGATTTTGTTCATAAAATTGTATAAAATGTACGGACCTTTTGAATAAAATATTAGAAATTCGAGTAGAATGTTTTGTTTCGTTCCAAATATAATCATAATCATTTCATTTTAATGTTTCTTATATGCCCGCATATGTTGATTTGAAGAGCATTCTCTCTTTAATAGCGTTTTTTACGTCGTGTATGAGAAAAGGGGAGTGTAAAATTGATAATATATTTATACTGCATGTTAGAGTAAACTCGATTAATATTACACACAGTATGTTATTAACAAACAAAATCCCATTCGCTCAGGGAAGGTATTTAAATTAATTATGTAACTCGCAGGGAGGCGGGCGTATTTGTAATTCACCGAGAAGGTATTTCGCAGCACCAACACACTCACTCAAACTCTTTGTGGAAAAGTATTTTGAAATTAAATGAAATTCTGATAAGCTGTGCATTACTGAACGTATAGAGTCACATACACAACAAACACAAACACTCACTCACAGACACTCATGAGACCGTGGTTTGCATTTGTCTTCTTCAATTACAACATTAAAATCCATCAGAATTATGATATTTTAAAAATATTTTTAGTCTAAAACGTGTTTACCAAATATGATAACTCGCACATTCTCGTGTGTGTCAATAAAAATAAATGGACTAATGCTAAATGAATATTTAGCCGGTCCGCATATCCTATGTCGCTAAGGCTTGAAGGACTTATGCCTGAAGAGCCGCGGGTTCGAATCCCGCCCGGGGCGGGGATGTTTGTGTGAGTCTGTGTGTTTTTAATCGTCCATTCATCCTTTATGACGTCATCATTTCATATCTCTTCCCACGAGAGCTAAGAACCTTGGAGTGTAAAAAATGGATTCAGCATGGAAATTCTGATCACCCCCAAAAATGTCACGTGCACTTAACGCGGGAAAAAATATGATTACGCCTCAATGGATACGGTTGCACGTTTGCGTGGCCCGAAGATGGCCGTTTTGGAACAACAATAATTGGATATTTATGATTTATTAACCTACTTGATAATAGCCCGCAATATATTCCTTTTTCTCGTATATCACCTAAACATAAGGAGGTAATAATTGGAGCTGTCGTATTCTTTATATTATTACAATTAATGATATAGTGATTACTTTATAGGCCTTGCAAGAACGTGGATTTTATTGTATGAATTTTGTTGGCCATTTTCTTTCAGGTTTTATCTTTCCAATTTTCTTACAGGTTTTTTGTAGTTAATAATGTAGGCGATTATATCTAGACTGAGAATGATCAGATAGATGTTCCTTCACGTATCTACGTACTGGCTTCTACACTAGGGATGTCAAGGTAGTTGCCAAATGGTAATCGGTAGCATATTGCCATTTCCTACTCACACATTTCATCGCCTTGCGACAAGTAAGGAGATCGAGAAGTTGTTACGTACGATTAGGAGCCACTCGAAAATTACGTTTACGTAATTTTGATATAGTAACCCTGAAGCAGTGGGGGACCCTCTTGGGTTCCCCGAACTTCTTCCAGGTTTTGCATCTTGCGACGCGATAGCGAGATTTGCGGTAGCCCTAAATGGAGCGCCCCCGTAGTTGTTGCGGAAGTTCACCGCTTTCCACCAGCACAGGTAACTCATTTCTCACAACTGTCCCGGTGCTAGATACATCTGCGCGGCCTTGTGCGAGGGTACGTCGCCAGCGTGACTTTTCCTTAAAGCACTACTCACACTTCTTCTTCGGGGAAACAGTACTGGATGATTGGCGAAGAAAATCAGCTACTGAGGTCAATTGTTTTGGAAGAATCTGACAACTTAGATTATGAAGATGAATGCGTACTCTTCCTTCGCTGTTGAGATTCAAGTTGCTGAGAGAACAATCGGCACAATCTCCACGTCCAGTACATTCCACTGCTCCTTTACAAATTGTGTTAGGTCTCTTCACTTTTGAATTTTCTTTTTATGTGCTTTGCTTTGATTCCAGTATAGCTTATATATGTTCTTGATGACGTTTTGTGGGCGCTCTTGAGATAGCATGCATCAAATTCACCACCAATCATACTTACTACGTGTTTATAATCCGTTGGGGGCGTAATGCAACCTTTAGTGATGTGCTGGATCGTTTCTTGGCGTACACCACAAGCCCGGCAGGTATCTGAAGGCACTTCGGAGAATATAATAATGTGATTGAGATAATTTCTTGTCCCAATTACCTGGTCGTGTATTGCTATCATGAACCTCGAGGTACAGATATCCTATTTTAAGCCATTTATACGACAAGTAGGTGTCGACATTTCATTTGACTATTTCTGTGGGATGTGTACCATGGGATGTCTACCATAAAGTGCCTTTTGTTTCCATTGTACTTACTTCTCAGCTTGTGTTGATTGTTCGTGTAGGACATTTTGTTGTTTAAGGTTGAGTGGTGTTGTGTTCTCATGTACTTGCTGTGTTTCTCCGGGTAGATGAGACGACAAGGCACTTTCATTGAAATGTATTATAATAATAATAATTATTATTATTATTATTATTATTATTATTATTATTGTTACTGTTATTATTACTGTTATTATTATTATTATTTATCCTTCTTTTAATACAAAATATGTCGGGGGTACTGTCCAAGACAAATATATATCTGTACAATATTTATGAAGGTACAAAGAAAGTAAAGTCTACATATCAAGAACTTCACAATTATTCTCAATTCTCAATCTGGCAATCTATTTCACAATCTTCTAGTGATACATTAACTTCTCTGGTTATTTATCGCACAATCAAGACTCAAAAATTTCCTGACAATGTTCGCTGTACCACGAAAAGCAGCTTTCTGCATCGTTCTCTGATGATTTTGTTGCAATTTATTATTATTATTATTATTATTATTATTATTGTTATTATTGTTGTTAATAATATTTTTGTTGTTGTTATTATAACTCGTTGTTGGTCTGTCGATTGAGCACCGATGGCGCGCGGGGCGCTGTGTGCGAGCAGGCCATCTCCAACGAGGGCGAGAAGGGCTTCCTGCCGACGTTCGGGCCGACGTTCGTGCACCTGTACGGGTCGCCGCGCGCCTACAGCCTGCTGGACGAGCACGCGCCGCTCAACGCGGGCCTGGGCGAGGGCGTGTCGTACCGCGCGCGCCTGCTGCTGGCCGTGCGCACCGAGATCCTGGACGGCGCCGCGCAGCTCGCCGCGCCCACCGAGCCCGAGCTGGAGCCCTGCGCGCCCGTCAACGAGGTCAGCGCCCTCGCACGCACGCAGGCACACCGACGGACAGATGCAGACAGATGCAGACGGGTACAGACGGGTACAGACGGGTACAGAAGGATACATACGGATAAAGACGGGTACAGAAGAATACAGACAGATGCAGACGGACGCAGACGGATGCAGACGGATTGCAGACGGATGCAGACGGTTGCAGACGGAAGCAGACGGATACGGACGGATACGGACGGATACGGACGGATACGCACGGATACTGCGATGAGCTGTGATGTTATTTTATTCCAGTTATAGCTAATGCAAATCGTTATGTTAGTGTAAGAATTTCAACATGCAGGCTGCGCACTTCCTACCCGTCCACATCCTTGTCCCTTCCTCTTTCCTTAGACACACACACACACACTTACACAGAATTCGCTACCATACAAGTCGGGAAACCAGAAGGGAGCTTACATCTTGTTCCGCTTGGTGACAGTTCCCAGCTGGGGAGACATCTGGATCGGGAAAACTCCGCATGACAACGTGCAGGCCGGTGGTCGACCTCAGGTGCTACCGGGTTTAGAACTCCGCCTCTTATAATGAACATTAAACGTACGGAACGTATACCTGTAGTTTGCCCAGAAATAGAAGTGATCAAGAATCAAATAAATATTTTAACAAATATGAATACTTACCGATAACCTCAACTGACATCTGTAGCCTCTAAAGGTATTGACTCGTAAAACAGTTAGTTAGGTTATATGTACTTGGCGTTGTACTGAGATAAAATATTAAAACATAACAAATGCATTGAGAACCTAAACAATCTAATCTTGTACAAAATATTTAATAATCGCTTATAAAGAATTAAATAAGAATGTGATGTTTAAGCATATGGCGAGGAAGTGCTATTCTTATAGTCGCTAGTGTGACATTTTCATTAGACTTCTTTGAAAGGAAAATTTCAATGCCTAACTAGACAGTGACAGTGTTAATTTTTGGATATTGGTATAAAATACTTATAGGATACACTATATTTACAAAAGTTTATTATAAAATTTGGTTGATTAAAAGAAAAACGTTTGTGAAATCCGAGATGACATCACTACAAATAGACAAGTAGTGTTCTAGGGCCTTGCTCGACAAGAAACGGTACAGTAAGCTCCTTTAAATTCACATCTGACAGCCTCATTAGTTTAAGGAGGTTTTGCCAAGTAAGCCTGAAAAGATGAAATCACGACATTTTAGATGTCTATTTTTCTATATTTGAGTCGGATTAGAGAAATGTACTTTTGTGAACGCTCGGAATACAAAATTTTTTTCGTGTTTTGAGTGTCTTCATTTCTCGTTCTTCTTTCGTTTATTTATCTTCATAATATTTACGTATGTTGTTGGAGACAAATAAACTTTAGTTGAATTATCAGTGTTTTGCTTTTTCGATTGCATTTATGCATTTATTATGGAATTAAATACAGTTTTAAATCATCAAGAACACATAATTGAGTATCGCATGATTTCTTGGTTGGAGGGATGGGGCGTGGACAGAAAGCCGCGGCTTCGAGAAGCTTTAATGTTTTCATCAATCGATTGTAGTAAACTGTCATGTGGGGCTGGCAACTAACGAAACCGTACGTTATCTGACGACATAATCCCACCCATGATCACTTATTTATCATCATCATTCATCTCTCACGATCAGTTCTCTCTTCAACAATGGGGTGGAAGCCAATGGCAAACCTCCAATATCTGATCAGAAAAGAGGAGTGTTTAAAAGCGAAATATCATTCTTAACTTATGTTTGGAGACGTAGTAAGGCAATTATTATATCACAGTAAACTTTCCTTAATAGTCGCTTTCCAATGTCATTTGGAGAACACCAAGGAGGGTCATGGGGAGAGGGGGGTCTCTGGCGGACCCCAGAATAAATAATTTTAAAATAATTGAAGGAAAATTGTATATTTCATATACAATAATATATATATAATTACAGTAATTGTTTTGCAACTTAGTTTCGAAATATTTTCAATTTATTAGCTGTGCTAACGGCATAAACTATTTTGAACATTTTTTTCTACTTATTGTACCGTCTGCGGAGGCGCACATGATTATGTTTTTTTTTTACAAGAATTAGTGTAAGTTACTGTATTGCTCTGAATGCACTGCCGTTCTCTTCATCGACACACACAACTAAGACACCATAACTACTAAGGCAACATTATGTAAGAGGACATCGGAGTTTCCTGGAAGCGATAACGCATGGCAACGTTTCGAATTGTTTTGTAAACATCCCACAAAAGATAGAGTCTATCACTTACGTAACCAGACAGGTCCTAATGAAAGTTCTAAACAATGAAGCAGTAACTCCTTACCTAAAAAAGTATAGAGAAAAAACTACCCTGAGATATGTCGCTGACGTTTCCACATTGGCATGCGACATTTAAGGAGTTAAAAAAAATTGCCTTCAATATCACAGATCACCATAACTCGAATGCCATATTCCAGCAACGCTTTTGTTGTTTATTTGTTTTTATTTCCACCTGGTACTCTGAATACAAAACAGCTCGAATCAATATTAGAACACACTCAGCAATCATTGCAAATTCTGGCACTCTCATTAATTTTGCATGAAATACACTTTGCCTTTCCATATGAATGCATTGCTTCACGTAAATATTCAATCACACAAATTGAACAACAGAGTTAATAACAGGAACTTAGATCTCGTCCACAACGTCCAAATATTCTTCAAAAGTGCGTGATTTGCAGACCCTGAAACGACATTCACTACCCAATTTTGAAATTAGTATTTATGATAGTATTCTTTTACAATGGGTTGAAAATCAATTATAACTTCCCTTTATTAATAATAAATAATTAAATTATTCACAAGTATAAATGTAATTTACAAACACAAAATATTGGTGAACCTTATTTGAAACGTACATCAAGTTGTAGTAATATTAGAAGTGTTTTTAGTAATACATTTTATTTAAAAAAAATTATGTTTCCGTTTATGTTCCGTAAAAACGTTTTTATCTTTTCCGTTTTATGTAAGTCGCGAATTTTGTATACTGGAGCTTCGTCATCAATTCGGAAATGTTAAGCCAACCCTCAGCTGAAATGAAGAGTGAATTTAGGAGAGGTTAAGTGACACAGAAGTACTGGAAACTACACACTTCCTCTCTCATTCTATCTTATAAAGTCTTATCCCAGTTTATCACTTTCTGGCCTCTACTTCTCTTTACCTTATATCCTTCGCTTACCCTTCATGCATAACGTTGTCGAGTAACAACTGTGTCCAACTAATGTCCGAAGAATGCTTCGAAGGTGTTCCTACTTCAGGCTTTATACATTTATTTTGGATCGTATGAGCAATCACCGGTAAAATACTAAAGTGTATATTGGCCGAGAACTAAGCATATTAGGTCTTTAGCTCCAACAAATACACATAAAATACAATATTTTTGTATTCCAGCATTATATAAGAACCTTTTATGTTACAAGGAATAGTTAATAATCGGGCATTTTACGGCACAAATGATGTATTAGGTTTTATGTCACGAATGATTGCGTCACCGCACATTCAGCCAATCTAGAGAATCGGGGGGAGGTAAAGCTAAACGGAACAGCCGACCTCCGTATACTCGCACGATGTCTAATACCCGAGTCGTCACAGGGAAGTTGTTTCGCAAAATTAAGTTTAATTCTCTTATAAATATAGAATGCTGTTATACAAAATATATAGTATGCAACTCGTTTATAATGTTGCTTTATTACATTCGCACAAATTTTAAAACTCGTTCATAAAGTCGCTCGTTATTAAAACATGTACTAGTGCAATAAAGCTTAACATTATAAACTAATTGCATAAACTACTATTAAAGGTTTTTATAGACGACGTAAATGACTTAACTCTCACAGCAGATACTTGATGTCACATGGCTTTTGAGAAGCGTCCGCAGAAGTTCCTTGTGAAGCGACCTATGATCTCCAACGTCCCATTATGAATTCTAAATATTCAGAAAAAATCTTACAAATGGTACGAGACAAGGAGTTTGTATTTATTAATTACAATATTAGCCAATATGGCATCAAAAACATCTACTATGTAACTATAAAGACATAGTCTACTGGACAACGCGTGTTAAAATGACGCGTACTTGGAATAAGCGCGGCTTGAACTATACGTGTATTTCATCGTTGTCAAAACACGTACTCGTGCAATAAAGCTTAACATTACAAACTAATCGCATAAACTACTATTTCGTAAATATAATAAAGCGCAAAATTTTCGGTTTGCAGGCGGCCTATGGGAAGCTGGAGGAATTCTTCCTGTTCGGCGCCGTGATGGACACGACAATGATGGACAAGAAGCTGGGCGACAAGCCTGTGGTGCTGGAGCTGAGCATGGGCAACGCCGGCAACTCGCTGGACGGCCACAACGAATCCTCGCGGCAAGTGGAGCACGACAGCGCGCCTGGTGAGTTGGCTTTGCGTAACACGCAGGACGGAATCGGGTGGGTGAGTGAGTAAATGTTTCTTGCTAGCGGTCACGTCAACTACTTAGGACATTAGCCCCGTAAGAGTAGTGCATCTAAAACTTGTATTGGGTTAGGCCTCTGAATATGAGACCGTTTTCTAACGGGACCCGTGGCTGTACAGACTAGTAGTGAATAAGTGAACTTTGCGTAACACTCAAGACAGGATTGAGTGGGTGAGTGAGCAAATGTTTCTTGCTAGCGGTCACGTCAACTACTTAGGACATTAGCCCCGTAAGAGTAGTGCATCTATAACTTGTATTGGGTTAGGCCACTGAATATGAGACTGCTTTCTAACGAGACCCGTGGCTGTACAGACTAGTAGTGAATGAGCATGGCAGTCATCCTCGTAACTAGTCAAGTATTCTAATCAGAGCCACCAGATAGTTCGTTGCTGCTGTGTGAGTTTTGTGCAAGGTTTAGGGCAGATTTTGTGAAAATCTTTCCCCACACGGTTTTTTGAACCACGTTCTTCTTTCGCACCTTTTTATATTGACATAAGAAATGGTGGTATTTTCATAGTCTGTAAATGATATCCGATAATGTCAAGTGAATACGTGCCAATTCTAATGCAATTTACAGATAACATAATCTAAAATATTTGTTTTGAATTCAACCACATTTTGTCTCCTAATACGAGATTCCCAGAGTTCCGAGAGGTTGGTCCCAGGAAAAATGGTGAACACAACAGTATATGAAATGATGCAGGTGGGCACATAAAGTTTGCGAAGATGATGGTTTATTTTCTCACAGTGCATTATGTAAATGAAAAAAACGCAAACAATCGAATAATTAATTTATTATTATTTTATTCAAGTGTTAAATTGAAGTATTTTTGGCTACCATTTAATTTATATAAACTAGTAATGCAGTCTTGAATTATTTTATTGTATCAAAATCAATTTTAAGATCAACTTATCCAATTTTATAATGTCTCGTATACGGAGCCCATTTTTCAATCGTCAAAATGTCTTATTTTGATGTTCAAATATACATGTTATTTTTATTATATAATTAGCATAATTATCATTTTTTCAAATTTATCATTAAAATTTGCCTTAATTTGAAGTATTTTCCACGTTATGTCCGAATTGCAAACGAGGTTTCATGTTCTCATTTGACCCTAAAACAAGTAAAGTCTGTGTTCTGGGCGTGTCAACTGGAATGATCGTAGATGTGGCGCGTCAGCTAGTACGACTGGTTCCGTTGGTGAAGCGTTATGTCCCGCGAGCGGACAGTGTTCCTCCTTTGTTGGTTTGTGGGCTCCGGCGCCGACCTCTACGTCGGTTTGCGATATTTCCTCTTCCAAGTATCTCCTCCAGTGAGGCAGTGCCCAGCCGGAATAGGCTCTAAGCTCCCGACTGGCCTACCGACACCTCTAGTCGCGTAGAACACGCAAGCGCGAGTGGTTTTGTGAGGGGAAGGGGAGGTCAAAGGTGAGAAAGTTCGCAGGCAGTTCGATACCGGTTTGTTTGGGTTCTGCGGAAGACGACCGATCAGAGCTGTCGTCCACCAAAATACCCCCAGGCAACGATTAAATTTGACCCGGATATGTAGTTAGTGGCGAAAACCTGTCATCGTTTGGTGGGGGGTTGTCAAAAGCGGTTGTGTATAGTGAAATCAAGTGTGATACAATCCAGTTACTATTAATTAATCATAATTATTGGAATTGTTTTATTGCTGTTTTTCTCAAATGTTTTTGAGATTTAAAATTCATTAACTTTACCCACGGACGAAAGGAGAAATGTTTACGATTACAGAACTAATAAATTTGCCACGGTATTTTACTGCTTAGAAGCAGACCAGGATCAAAAATAAAGATAGGAACCCTACTTGAAGCTCCGTTTGTATATGTTTAATTTTGTTTTAATTCTGAAATCAGCTGGTTACTGCAAATAATACATGTATATTAGGCGAGGTTCAATCTGTGGTGTTTTTCTATCACGCGTACTCTCTGCCGCAACAAGCAGTACGATATTTCACCTTCCGCAAACTCTTACAGGCGTTTGCTCGTTCTGAAGTGTGCATCTTCCGCTCCAAATGGACGATGATAGTAAAAATATGTACATTTATCTAGTAGTTTATACTTGGATATGTATTTCACTTTCACTTCTATGTCTTTATCTAAATACGTTTGTAATCTTTCTTCTGGTTAGTTCCCCTGGAAATTACTCTGCAAAATTCCCCGACAACGTTTTCCACTTTTTAATTTAAAAAATAGAATATCTAATGATTAATTTTCGTAATGAATGGTTTTATAATACTTACAAGGACCACAGTCCCTTTTAAAAATAGCTGCTTGACGTCTTTGAAAATTTGTGAGTGAGGAATCTGTAGGTAATTCATACATTAAAAGAATCACAAATAAAATTAAAATGCTTACACCAATTCTCGTTAATATTCACCTCCATTTAATTTCCTGCAAGTCGATTTGATTTCTTAATCTCAGTTCATAGATGTAGTTGAGAATGAGGGAAGTAGTGACATAGTTCAACAAGCTATACTTGAAAACCGAGCAAAGTTCTCTGGTACGCATTGTTGATTGGCGATGTCCTATTTCATTGGGGCGAGGAATGTTCAATCAGAAACACGATGTGGCACGATCTGCTATTGTCTGTGTAACGCAATCGGAGAGAGGTATTTCAATTACGCATTCATTCAAATTATGTAAGCAATCTATTCAAGATTTCACTGCCTCAATTGCCGTACGTCAGTAGTTTAGTATGAAATGCTGTATACATACAATGTGAATACGCTAGAAATAATTCAGCTGCAAGTAGTGATCTTTTCAGAAAGATTACGAAATGCAATATAATTATTTTAATTTTCCTTGGATGATTTATATTATTATTATTTATCGTATATTTTATGCGATAAATAATAATAATAATAATAATAATAATAATAATAATAATAATAATAATAATAATAATAATAAAATCGTCGTTTTGATGTGTCTATTGACGAAGAGATTGTCTGGTTGCCAGTATGTGCTAGTTCATTTAGTTCACGAGAAACGCTATCCAGGGCGCACCACGAGGAGGCGAAGTAGCTCTACACCCCGGTTGATTGATAGATTGGTTGATTAGTGATTCCGGGCGCGTCAACTGCTAAAGTCATCAGTTACTTTAAGTGTAGAGCACGTTTTTCCTCGGTAAGAAGCAGTGATCTTCCCCTGCCGATTGGCGAGATCCGGCACCGACCTACCGTCGGATAGCGAGATTTTCTCCAACCAGGTATCTCCCACCAGGGACAAGTTCTAAGCTCCCGACATGTGTGATAATGCAGTGCACTCAAGTGTAAGTGGGTGTAAGGGGTGGAGATAGGCCGACGAAGGGGAAGAAAGATCTCGCGTGGTCCGTGACCCGTTTGTTGTGGTATTGTTCCGGCATTCGCCAGGTATTAATCGAAAAAAACACGGAAAACAACCGCTCAGAGCATCCGACCGCTAGAATTCTTCTCCCAACCGTGACATAATTCGCCTTAGCAATCTAGCTAGTGTCGAAAATCCTGCGGTGGTGGGGACTCGAACCTAGGACATCCCGGTCAGAGGCAGGGCAGTGACATCAGTTTATGCCTTGGACCCTCTTTCCCGGTAATTTTTTGGACTTCTAATGAAAGTGCTAACTATGAAACTATCGAAACTTCTAAACTATGAAATAATATTTCACTCAATATTACTTTCTGGCATACTGCTTTTGCAGTGTAGTGAAAATGTTGCAATAAATGTTAGAAAAAGGCAATTTTTCCACAGAAAGAATTTTTTTCTGGGCAATGATAGCGGAAAAATTAATAAACCATCTTACGACATGAAGTAATTTACTTCCTCTAACACACTCTGTAGGCAGCATCCATGTGTTGCGGTTCCTTGACACCGAAAAATCGGTGGACGGTAAAACGTCTGTCTCTTTATCACTTTATCTGGGATCAACGTTAGCGTCTAAACTGTTCAGATCATTTTCTTCAAAATTTATGTTCCACAATCGATCTAAACGAACTCGAAAATCTGTGAAATTTCATCGTATAATTTGAGTTTTGAAGGTACTTTATATAACGTCTTAACACTGTCAAAATAATCTCCAAAATGTCTTCAAATTTTTGGATTAAACCTTTCCTCGGAGAGCATTAATAACGCTTAAAGTAGTGACATAGGTCTGAATTTAGTTAAACTCCCAGATTGTTCGAAAATTACAAAGGTTTATGAATGTTTTGCTATTTCCTACAATATTGAAGAGAGAGATTTTCCTACATAAAATCTGTTGTTTAAAAAGAATCTTGAAGTAAGGTCATGTCCAATTTTTCGAAATTAAGAGTAAATTTTAATGAATTGTGTGAGAAATACAGGCAATTTTTAAAAATTTTCAAAAACAGCTACCAATTTATTCATTAAATGTTCTCTTTGAAACTACTGAAGATCGGTAAAAAATTATTGATGGTCCCAGTTTCGTTTAACGTGTTTTCGAAACGAAATCAGTTCTAAAAGATATTTTAAAAAGATCATGTACATAGTTTTAAAATTGTTTACTCATATAATTAATAAGTACTCAATTAGATATATTTTTAAACAAGGCTGAAATAGAAGTAAAACTAACCTTCAATCTCCTTTCCGAATATTATATTCAGCTGTCATTAGTAAGCTTCTAGGAAGTTCATTCTTCAATATTCACCGGGGTGATTTCGAAATAAGGTGAACTTCAATTAAAAATGCCTTCATTCATAATAGATTTATAAGAAACGCCGCAAGAGCATACTTGTCGTTATTAATAGATTATACCTTGAAAGGAAAAAAATTGATTTGAAACGATTCAGTTTTTTATCACTTACTTTCTGGAGTTTCGCCGAATGCTTCATTGATATTGCACACCAAAAGCACAATTTTGATCAAAAAACATCGACGTATTTCAAAATATACCGCGAGAGTTTTTCCTCTTCTCGTTTAATT